ACGTGATCGTAATTGACATAGCTAGGCAAACAGGACAAAATGTTACACAACTTCTAGTTGCAAAATAGGTAAAATCATCACTATTTATATCACTTTTTTCATCCTATTGACTGTAACATTACGATATCGTTAGCTACAAGTGTAGGATGTAGTATAAATTTACCATAAAGATATAGTTCTTAGGAATATGCTCGAAGTTATTTGAAAGTGAAATTAGAATTTACATACTGATCATTATGACGGCAAAACGAAAACTTCTCGAAATTTTCCAACACGCTGATATAAATAACAATGAACAAATTATTTCAATTATTAATTTATCTTTTTGTATTTACATTTTTCCATGTTTCCACATCAATGTCTGATTGATATAGGGCATCTCACTTCCGGTTCAGACAACATAAACGATCGAAAACAGCTTGATCGGTTATTATGATATATCGGTTACTATTATATTTTTCTCTGGCAAATAGGACATTTTCACTGTAATGAAATTAACAATATTATAAAACACTACACTTACAAAACTAGATGTTTACACAACTCTCTCAATTTCCAAATGTCCAGGGGGGGGATGTTTAATGTGGGAAAAAATCGAGGAAAATGGTGAAAATACATTATTTTTAAAGAAAATTCTCAGGCTGGGGTGGGGGGGGGGGGCCCTGAAGCCCAAAAAAACCCCTCTGGATCCGCCACTGCCTTGGGCCGATATAACTAAATACCACCACAGGGGCATGGATCGCTTTACTTGTAATATAAAAAAATAGGGGTCTCCTATACTAATTTTTTTATATTACAAGTAAAGCGATCCATGCCCCTGTGAATACCACTGATAGCCGCGATCTTTAAAATTCGTTGATTCAACAACTTAAGTCACGTGATACCCTACATTGTGTTTGCTTCCAACGAAGTCAAATTAGGTAAATATAAAAAATATTATTACTTCGTCGAACTGATAGGAAGTCATCTGCGACAATGCACCAGAGGTGGTATGCAGATTTCTATGCAGACGATTTCGGCTGTGCAATTTGTTCTGAGAACATACAAGACTGGGCGATTCATTTGTTATATGAAATGTGCATTCACATATCGAAATTTTCTGTTACTATTTAAGTGTCTTTAGAAACAAATGTCATTTAGACCTACCTGCAGATCAATCCTTGCATCGATATATTTAACGTCAAAAACAGTACACCGGAAATATGACACATATCAAACATTAAAAACAAACGACTGCCGACATAATCCGGAATACGTGAATGGTTTCCTCTGATCCAAGTCCTGAGAACCGCTAACATCCTTGATTTCAACCAGAAATTAACATAGACATGCATAACCTAACTTGTCATACCTCTGTCAGAAATATTTTTGGTGAATGGTAATAAATAATTAGGCCTAACGTTAGGCTACATGTTATATCAGTCTTCTAAACAGAGACGTATCATAAAGCCACTCCGTAGTAAATGCAGCAAATCTAATGGCAACCGGGCATTTTTTTATCGCTATTCACGATCAGCATCCTCACATGTTGCACTGTTGTCATTCAATAATTGTCCCAAGACTCGAAAATGTACATCTTTAACTGCATGTTTAAATGTCAGCAATTCATTTTCATAGAGAGTTTATAGAACATGATTTGCCATAAAATAATATCATTAGCGTTGGTTTTCTGATTGTTATCACATATATGTTTTATATTGGTGAAATATGTTTAGATTCTTTTTGTTACATTATTTTTGACATTGCAATCCCTGCATCATATACTGAATGTGTCCCACATTTCCTGGTCCAGTGACTGCTAAATAATCCTCATCGGTGTTTTTTTTCCCTTCTGGCTGTGTTTTGGGTGTTGTATCTCAAAACGCCAACGCCACCCAAACTTATATATATTCCATACAAGTAAATACAATTTTGGAAGTTTAATATTTTATAATAAAATAAAAGGCCTATCTTTCATACAGTTACAGCTAAACGGAAGTTAAGGATGTACTCTTCTGAGGTTTCAGTCACGTTCAAGTCTCGTTTTGATCTGGTGTAACGGGTTTTTGTAATATTTAACAAATTATGATAAGTATAATAGCAAACACACATCTAAAAAAACTGTGTCTGTTGTGTGTAGAACATTTTTTACAAGAATTTTTAAAAAATGACTAATTTGGCGTCCATTTTGAAAAAGTGTATATTTACAATGTATGTGAATTTCTTGCGCTTCACAAAGGGCCAAATTCACCTTTTTTGACACTAGATTGATCACTTAAATTGTCACTGTGTCACCATTTTTAATTGTAGCAGGTTCAATGTTGCTGTACAACTTTATAATGTTCAATATGATCAAAATAATATGCAAAAAAGTGGAAAGTTATATATTATTGATATTTTTTTTTTTACATATTAGGGTAACTGAAGCACTTTTGATTTTTGACCCCGAAAAAGGTGAAAAATAACACAAATAATAATGGGACAATAAAAGAAGCACACCGACCCCCATTTTTGTGGCTGTTTTAGAAAGAAACGCATTTTCTTTTGATTCATTGAATACTTAAAAAAGGTTATTACAGGATTTTTTTTATATCAAGCGTTTCATCGGCAAAAAATGGTGAAAAATGTGCATATTTTCATTAAAATATAAGGGGTAGGGGTAACTAAAATCGCATTTTTGAGTAAAATGGTTAAGTTTAAGTCATTTTACTTCCATAGTTTCAAAGAAAATAATATTTTTATCAATTCTACAAACATTCATACATATCTGATAAAACACTTGGAAGAAATTGTATGAATTTGTTCTGCAAATGGTCAAAACCTGAAAATTCACCTAAAATCACATGTTGTGTTAAATTGGTATCTTTGACCGATCATAGCACAAAAACGAACACACCGACATATTTTTTTTTGCATTTTCTACCAAGCCATGATCTCCTTTTTCCAAAAAACAATATAAGAAAAAAAGTTTAATACAGGAATTCTTTGACTTCTCAGAGGTGTACATCCTTAAGGGGAGGTAACTGTATGACGAAAAACTACAGTACAATGTGACAGGGATCCTTAATAATTCAATTACTGATCCTAGATTGAACAGTTCAGCTCTTTTTCTACGAACTATCTGGTTGATTGCTTCAGATTCTTAAATTTCCACTGTAAATGGATCTTTAGAAGTACATGTACACTTTACTGCTGTATACATGTACACTTTACTGCTGTATACATGTACACTTTACTGCTGTATACATGTACACTTTACTGCTGTATACATGGATCCTGATATGTCACATATGTTGGTCCAGCTATACATATGTTTTGTTCCGATTTTCATTTTACTATTGTGGCTAAAGAGGCAAATCATATTCTATGGGATTCTTGTTTATATAACAAATACAAAATAAAACCTGTGTATTATGACACACTGAGTTATTCAACCAATATGTCGGATTCCACAGGGTGTGCAGTAATACAGATTTGTTCAGGCACATTCCACCAGTGGTAATGTTAAATTTTTCGAATCAATCTCTTGCAAGCAACTATAGTTGTAAAAATTCTCGTTATCTTGATTATCAGTATTTGTGATCTTCTATTTTCAGTATACATGATCGCCATCTTGATTCAGCACTGCATGCATGATTATCTCCCTTTTCTCTGTATTTCCATGAATTAATTAGAAGAATTGAAAAGAATCGTGTATAAGTTAATACAGAAAGATCACTTCTATTCTCGAAGGTAGACAAAACAGATGCAGTTGTCAATTATGTATTATCTTTTCAATTCTACTAATTAACTCGTTACTCCGCAGAACCAATTGATCCCGAGACCCTGTAAACATACTTATTTCATCAGTCTAGTTATTTCTTACATAACGTACTTATAATCATGACTGATTTTCCAACTCTACATCTGCCATGTTCAACATTTTCCTTCATGAACATATATTATTCATCATTTGTATTTATTTTTTGCTAAAACAAGTATGTTTACAGTTCCCAATCAAACAAAAGACAAATGTATTTTTACAATATCATAACACAAAGACATTGTTTTTGACGTAAATGGCTCACTGCCGAATTTATTAAAGTATCTGTTTTGTTTTTATTTTATTTATTAGTCCCCCACCGGTTTCCGGAACATTCCTTCTATACTATATCACCTGGAGTAACCAGATTTGGTGTACAATGGCATCTTGGGATGGCGGAGTGCAGAGGGCAAGAAGCAGGTCACTATGACCTCACTGTGACCTATGCTTTGACTTTTGACCTTAACTTTTGAAAAAGTTTGACTGGGGCATATCTTCTATACTTTTTCACAGAAAGTAACCAGATTTGGTGTACAAGGACATCTTGGGATGGCGTAATGCAGAGGGTAAATATTAGGCAACTGTGACCTATGACTTGACCTTTGACCTTTGACCTTAAGTTTTGAAAAAAGTTTGTCCAGGGCATATCTTCTATTCTATTTCACCTGGAGTAACCAGATGTGGTGCATCCTGTAGTGTACCGTTTGTTGAATATAGAAATCATTACCGGTGGGTAACTATGGATTGCTTTGGTCTTTTAATGATTCATCTTTCAGATTTATTTTTTGCCACCAAAGATAGATCAGAATATGCTGGAGAGCAGGCTACCCAACCCTACCCCCATTAAGGAGGAGGGAGGTAGGTTTATCCTAAGGCTCTGACCAGCTGGCAGTGTTGTCTCACCTCTGATCGTGCCCTCAATTATATATCAACAAAGCAAACCGCTTCAACCATTAAAAGGATAAATTCACTTATCTCATTGCCTATAATAAGAAAACATGAAAGGTCTAACTTTGTACAGGATTACTGGCTATTATAACTTGGAAACAACTTGGAAAAATACATGCTGTTGGCAAATTATCAGTTATTTTCGACAATCACTTGGCCCAATCTAAATATAAAAAGTACTACTCTCTTCAGTCAGCGAATAGAAACATGAGTTTCAGTTGTTTAAAATTGACAATTAAAATGTTTTTTAAGTCACTTGGTTTCTGCTATCTTGCTGGCACAATTATAGTAAATGTCCTCTATACGAATTGGAATATTCCTCCATCACAAGTTACAAATTCAGCAGCATTTCGGTGTGCAGATACAGATGCTGTAGATACCAAGTATTCAGGGCACGTGTTGTAATGTACTGGAATACAAAATAAGAACGACTATAAAAATCTTTGTTAAACATTAGCTTATGACAAGAAATTCGGTGTTTAATTTCGGTTAACACTTTGCTCAAGCTCACATACTCGTCATACAACTAATTCATACAGTGAAAGTAATTTATTAAAATTAAAGGTAAAATTTGAATGTATCTAAATTAAGTATTGCCGAGTATCACGGTATCTAAACATGCATACATTTCTGCTTGTAATTAAAGGAAACAACTTTACTACTAGAAAATGGATATTTCCACTTCATAACCTTACCTGAAACACTAGTCTGTCGTGGCGCTCTCCTTGTGTATTCTGTGAGAGTGGTGGTATCAAGCTCTAGTCTGTCGTGGCGATGTACTTGTGTATTCTGTGTGAGTGGTGATATCAAGCTCTGGTCTATCGTGGCGCTGTCCTTGTGTATTCTGTGTGAGTGGTGATATCAAGCTCTAGGCTATCGTGGCGCTGTCCTTGTGTATTCTGTGGGGGTGGTGGTATCAAGCTCTAGTCTGTCGTGGCGATGGACTTGTGTATTCTGTGTGAGTGGTGATATCAAGCTCTAGGCTATCGTGGCGCTGTCCTTGTGTATTCTGTGTGGGTGGTGGGATCAAGCTCTAGTCTGTAGTGGCGCTGTCCTTGTGTATTCTGTGTGGGTGGTGGGATCAAGCTCTAGTCTGTAGTGGCGCTGTCCTTGTGTATTCTGTGTGAGTGGTGGTATCAAGCTCTAATCTGTCGTGGCGCTGTCCTTGTGTATTCTGTGCGAGTGGCGATCTGTTTATAATTACTATTTTCATCCTGTGGCCTGTTGTGGCTGGGAGTTTAACCTTTTTACCGGGATAGACCTCAAGGTGCGGTCCGGGCCCGATCCCCAGGCTCTGCAGCAGCCCACAACTACATACAATCTCAGAAGTGTCAATCACAAGAATGAAATCTATAGTATTCCCAGTGTGAATGATCAGTTCCAATGGGTATAGAAAGGACAGCCCTTAATGGGGTTTTGCTTCCTTTGGTTGAATAAGTTACATTTTAGTTATCTACATTTGATACATTTACATATATTAAAAACATGTCAAATAAATTCTACATTTGTTTTCGTTTTTTGTACAATTTTCTTTTCGTTTAATTTGTTGGGTTTTTTACGTTTCAATGTATTACTATGTATATATATATTTCGTTTATTCTTTTGTGGGAAAAGGAAAGATAATGTTCAAAAGAAAAATTCATACTTGGCCTATCCAAACAACATTCTTCACCTGACAATCAAGTTGACTCGCACAACATTCAACTCCGTTTTGCTATTGTTCAATCTAAGCATATCCAGTAAAATCACACACCAATGATTTTAAAGGATTATTTTGCTGAAAACATAGCAAAATCAGAGAGAAACATAGTTTGAAAGACCCGAATAAAAGACCAATATTGTTTATTAGAATGATTCTTTTTGTTTTTTGGTTGTTAGGTGTTGTTTTTTTTACTTTTTTTTTAAATATTTAAACTTGACATATTTACATATATACAACT